GTGTGTGTGTGTGTGTGTGTGTGTGCGTGCCTGGAATCCTGAGAGGAGAAGGGATTGTGGTGTGGCCATGACCCTAGGGATGATTTCTTGCTTTCTGTCTCTCTGTCGAGCACACGCACCTATAGCAAAAATCTCTGTCAAAAAAAAGAAAGAAAGTGAATGATAGGAACCAGCAGATTACATGATGGTTATACTGCTGGACTCCCACGTAGTGGACTGCAGGTCAGGTCTCAGACCCAGCTTACAACTCAGTGCCACACCCGGAATCCTGAGAGGAGACTGGAGGAGAAGGGACTGCAGTGTGGCCGTCCCCTGGGGGGTGATTTCTCATGTTTTGTCTCTGTCTCTCTGGTGAGTGCACCCCCCTACAGCAAAAATCTCTCTCTAAAGAAATTAAAAGAAAGAAAGTGAATTATAGTACCAAATTATAAACATATGCATTTTTAGAAACAGGTTTTTTAAATCTTTAATTAACACTAGAAATGACAAGGTCACATGTTCTGGAATTTACTGCCCTGCCTTCCGCACTTCCCTCAACCCGTCCCCCTGTCGTGTGGGAGCCGGTCTCAGGACCATGCGGTCACGGGCCCCATCGCTCTCCCCAGTGTGTCCCTGCTGGGTGTGATCGCGGTCGCCTTCCAGCAAGCTCAGCATATCCTGGTGGAATTCGTGAAGGCCAGACAGAGGCAGCACGCCGGCCCCTCATCCCCACCGGGCAGCGGCGCGGTGGACGTGATCAGCTCCCACTCTCACAAGTAAGAGTCCTAGAGCGAGCAAGAGCGTGTGCGTGGGTGCGTGCGTGTCTCAGGGCAGGGGTGAGTGATCGCTCATTCCGGTTTTATCCTAAGTTGATATAAATCCTGACTCCGAATTTGCTCCCGAATCACATTCTGGAAGTCGTGGTGAGACCTGTCTTTGCTTAGGAGGCGCCTTCCTGTAAGGACTTAGCTCTCGGCGTCCTCGTTGGCAGGGACCCTCATGGCGTGAGGGGGAGAGCAGGTGGGCCTCGCGCCCTGGGCAGGACTGAGCTGCCTCCCTTGTGGGTGCAAGGCAGAGACCTGGGCTGGGGCTGGCTTGGGTGCGCGTCTGCTGGTGAGCGCCATCTGGTGGTGGGATCCATCCTTGCCTTCCCGTCCTTTCTCCCCCAATCAGGAGCAGCTGTAAGAGCTTTCTGGATGCCTACGGCCCCCCGGATAAAGGCCGGGGGAAGAGCTGCCTGCCCGTGAGCCCACACCGCCCCGGAGGACAAGCAGGCCTCCCCACCCGGGCCCGCGCCCGCTGCCAAGGAGGACTCCTGCACGGACGTCCCGGGCGACAGCTGGATCAGCCTCAAGTACCCCGACGGCGGGGACGGCAGCCTGCAGGAGAGCTTAGCCGTTCCCCAGAACGCACTGAGCAGGGACGAGGGCGCCCCGGGACACGCGGTCGGCGCCCTCGCTCCTCCGTCGGGGTGGGAGCTGGGCGAGCGGGCCCCGGCCTGGATGTTTCCTAAGGAAACCGACGTCAGGACTGCAGAGCTCTGTGCCCTGAAGACCTCGAAGAAGCTCCCCGAAAACCAGGCGCTGAGATACACCCCTCAGGACCCGCCAGACTTGCCAGAGACGTCCAGGAAAAACCACGGTAATCTCTTCCCCCTCCCTGGTCCTCCGCCGGCCCCAGTCTGGTTTTAACAGACTCAACTTTTCACCTGGGACCATCTGTTTTCACTGCGGATGCTGCGTTTTTAAGAAGTTTATGCAGTGGCCAGCAGGTGGCGTAGTGGCTCAGGTGTCGGACTCCCACATGACCAACTGTGTGGTTCAAGTCCCAGACCCCACGGATTGAAACTCATCCCGGGCACGTGTGCATATGTACCCAGAATCCCAGGAGGAACCTGGAGAAGGGACTGTGGCGTGGCCCTCTCCCTGGAGGGGCGATTTCTCACTTCCTACCTCTGGCGAGTACGTGTACTCTAGAACAAAAATCTCTCCAAAAACATGTTAATGCACGGGGTCTAACAAAGGTGTAAGTGTTGAACTGCAGCTTGTGAAATGAAACTTTGGAGGCAAGGCACCTCGTTTGTAGAGGGTCGTGGCTAAGAAGTTTAATTTTAGTGTGAGTTTGGAGGGATGTGAGTATCATATTTTATGGTGGAGAACACACGGACTCCCATTTCTTTTTTTTTTTTTTTAATTATTTTATTTAACTTTTATTTTAACTTGACCAGAGAGGGACCGAGTGTATGTGTGAGAGAGGGAAACAGAAGGAGAGTCGCCAGGTCCGGGACTCGCCATGGTCGGCCCTGTGGAATCCAGCGCCCTTAACCACCACGCCCCCTGCCGGCCCTGGACACTCATTTCTGGTTACTTTTTATCTCAGCTCTTCAGACTCTTGACAGAAACGTCTGACCCTGTGAGGTGATTCTCACAGGCCGCGACCTGACCCGCTTCTTTGACAGCTGCCACCATCCCTTGGCCCCTGGCCTTGGTGCTTCTCAGATAGTTCCCGTCGGTTATGACCAGACAGGGGTCCTCACGGAGCAAAGGCTGCTCACGGAGGCACCGCCAGCCCAGGGGGACTGCCGCGCGTGAGACTCTCTGTACCCTTCACAGGCCCCTTCGGCCTCCCCATCGGGGCCACTTCCTCTTTGTTTTTTACTCTTCCTTTTTTTTTTGCCCATCCTGACTTTTAAAAAACTTATTTATTTATTTTTTTTGCTATGAGACATGTGCTCTCTGATCTGAAGCAGAGAGAGAAAGAGAAAATGAGAAGTCACCCCTTGGACGGGATGGCCAAACCAAAGTCCCCTCTCATCCCTTCTCTCAGGGTTTCGGGCACTCATGCACACACGCCCAGTGTGTTTTTCAAGCCGCTCAGTCGTGATTCAAAGCGTGGAGTTGGCCATTGTCGGATCCAGCACCTTAACCTGCTGACCCTGACCTGACCTTTCTCTCTCTCTCTCTCTCTTTTTTTTTTTTTTTGCTATAGGGTATGTGCACTTGCCAGAAAGACAGAGGGACAGAAAGTGAGAAATCACCCCCCAGGGGGGATGGCCACGCCGCAATCCCTTCTCCTCCATTCTCCTCTCGGGATCTTGGGCACGCACGCACACGTGCCCAGTGTGAATTTAAGCCACCAGGTCCGGGACTTGAACCGCGGTTGGCTACATGAGAGTCCATTGACATAGCCATCATGCCAACTGCTGGTCCCTTTAATTCCGTTTTTGCATGAACTCTCTGGAGTCCCGTCATGGCGCCCCGTGCAGTGAAGGCTATGAATATATTCATCACCTACAGCTCCCTCCCGCCTCCCTTATTACCGCCACTGCTCTGTCTGTTCTTCTGTTTAACTGCAGCTCACTCTGTGGCACACAAGGTCACAGAATTGTTGCTTAATGAGAGACATGAATTGTGTGACTTGTCTGGAGGGAGGGAGGGAGAGAGGAGGGGAGAGAGAGAGAGTGCCCCTTGGTGCAGTGTGGTTACACCACAATCTTTTATCCTCCATTTTTCCATCCCGTGAGGGTTTTCAGCACGTGTGCACACACATGTGCTTGGTGTTTTTTTCAAGGGCCGAGACTCGAACTATATCAGCGTTGTGGAATCCAGCTCCCTTAACTCCTATGCCATGGAGCCGGCCCTGTCTCTGTTTTTATCTTACTCCTTTTTGCCGTAGGGCATGTGTGCTCACCGAGAGAGACAGACAGAAAGGGAAAATGAGAAATCACTCTCTGGGGGGTTGGCCATGTTCCAGTCCCATTTCCTCCATTCTCCTTGAAGGATTTAGGACATGCATATGCATGTGCCTAGCATGTTTTCCAAGCCATCAAGTTCAAGACTTGAACCTGTGCAGTTGGTCACGTGGGATCCAGCACCTTACCCATCAAACCACTTGCTGGCCCTGGCCTCGTCTGTTTTTAAACAGGCACGTACTCACAATAGTTCCCTATTTCTGAGTTGTTTCATACTGAAGTTTCTCAAAAAGACTCATGGGAAAATTTGTTATCAACATTCCTTTTGACATTCACTACTTTGTTAGAGTGATTTAGTACTGGCTGTTATATTTGAATCCTTCCTAAAACACTTCAGCGGCCAGTACTTTTGGTACTGTTTTCTTGGCCTGAAGAAAATGGAAGGAAATAACATTTTTTGAGGGAGAAGGCCTGTATTACGTTTCATGCTTCCGGCTTCCGGAATCCAAAGTGCTCTCCTTGTTTGCAGTTTCTTTTTCTTTTACGGATCTTCCCCTCAACCCTGGGTACTTTACCTGTGCCCCGTGTTGACCATGTCCCTGTGGGTGTCTCCCCCCAACGTGTGTCATGGAAGGGGCTGCCCCCCCCAGGGCTCTCTGCACAAGGGGGACTTTTGATCATGACAACTTGAGAAAGGGGGAGTGAGGGTTCTGCAGGGCTGCTGGTGGGCGCTCTGCGTCCAGGAACACGCAGGTGCGAGAGGCCCCTGGCGGCCGAGCATGTCAGCCCAGACCTCCAGGCAGATGGCGGCTGTCCCGCAGAGGCGGGAACTCCCGGGGGTTCCTAGATTGTGGTTGACTGAGACCTGGACCCCCGTGGTCGCTGTGCTCCCACCAGTGAAGAAAGTGATGATGGGAGCAGGGTCCCTGGGACGTGATGCTGGCCGCCGCACGTCACGGTCTGTCCCCTGATGGCCAAGACGTCAAGCGTCCAGTGACCTTTTAATTTATGTGAAGGATCCAGCCAAAGGGTTAGTTTTTGGTGTTCGTTTTGCTGCGCTGTTTGGAGAACGTCACCTTAAATTAACTTAGAAATAGAGCCTCGTTTCCGGACGTCTGAGACGGTCCATGGCTGGACTTCAGCCATGAAAGCCTGCGCTCTGGAACGAGGTGCGTGCCGGCCGCTGCTCCAGCCCCTTTAGAGTGACGTCACATTTACAATTTCCTGCTGGTGGGATGAACGCACCTCTGCCTCGTCTTATTTGAAAGATTTACACATGCTGCTTTGAGTGAATCGAATGCATAGCGTCAGAGTTTCAGAATCAGAGGGGTCCAGACAGCCTGTCCCTTCTGTAGCTGAGATGCACCTGCCCGGGGCCCCAGAAAGCCTGGGCTGGAGCCTCCATTGGGATCTGGTCAGGCATCCACCCTTCTGGATCCTTCTCTGCTTTGGTCTGTGGTCCCCTAAGTTTTCTTAGATTTCAAAGATATGGCACTTTCAGTTATAGTAACAAGGAGAAGGTAATGACATCCTTTCTGTTTCAGGTTAGAGAACCAGCTCTGTAGTCTAGTGGTTAAGGGGCTGGATCTCCCCCATGGTGACCACAGTTCAAATCCCAGCCGTGAAGGTTTAAAAGTACGCCAGGCATATGCGCGTGTGCCCCAAATCCAGACGGGGTGGAGACGAGGAGGGATTGCAGCGTGACCATGCCTCATTGGGGGCTGCTCTCTCTCTGTCTCCAGTGAGCACATGGCCTTCTGGCAAACACTTTTTCCAACATTCAAAAATCAAGTTATTGGGAACCAGCAGTTAGCGTAATGGCTATGTCGCTGGACTCCCACGTAGTCGACCGCGGTTCGTGTCCCAGACCCAGTGGCTTAAAACTCACGCCAGGAGCGTGTGCGTGCGTGGCCAAGATCCCGAGAGGAGAATAGAGGAGAAGGGATTGCGGCGTGACCATCCCCCCGGGGGGTGATTTCTCGCTTTCTGTCTCTAATGTCTCTCTCTCTGTCTGTCTGGCGAGCGCACGTGCCCTATACCGAAAATCTCTCCAAAAAAAAAAAAAAATCAAGTTTGTGGGATCAGAGTTCATTTGCCTTTACTATGGGGTAACGAGTAGGAAAAATACACTTAAGAAATCAATCGAGAGAAACATGGAGGAGATGCCTTTTCAAATCAGGTTCCTCCCAGTGCCTACCCTTGCCCTTTGACCTGGGGACTGTTCCTCTCAGCTTGTGGGCACTGCCCACTGAGGGCAGGGGGCACCCACTAGGGAGGGACTTCCCAGAAGCAGTTTGCCTGGGCCTTGGTGGGGAGGCTTTACCCTTATGGCTGTTTGGGCTGCGTCTTGGCAGCCACCACGCAGGGTGGGCTGGGAAGGTGGTGGGTGCCATGTGTGTGCGATGAACAGGGAAACTGCAGTTCAGGCTGCTAAAGAGACTTACTTTGATCTTACAACCAGTAAGTGGTAGAGTCGTAACCAGAACCCAAGTTTTCAGCCCCCCCCCTTTAACTTTTCTTTTCTTTTTTAGGTTTTTGCCATAGGGTGCATAATCTCGCCAGAGACAGAGAAAGTGAGGAATCACCCCCTGGGAGGATGGTCATGCCATAGTCCTTTCTCCTCTCAGGATTTTGGGCACACACACACTGGCCTAATTTTCAAGCCATTGGTTGGTTCCAGGACTCAAAACCATGGTGAGCCGTGTGGGACCCAGAGCCTTAACTTCCATTCCACCTGCTGGTCCCCCCTCAACTTTAAAAAAAAAGTTATAAAATATACATATCGTAAAATTTACCATTTTAACTCTTTTTAATTGTACAGCTTAGTGGCTTCAGGTACACTCAGGTTATACAACTGTTACAACTATTCCATTTCCAGAATGTTTTCATTATCCCTGTGATTGTGTGCCCATTAAATAATAACTCCTTGTTATACCCCTGCCCCCTGTGCCCTGACCCTTGTGAATGTTTTTGTATTTTCTGTCTGTGTGAGTTTGACTACTCAAGGCTCTTCGCACCAGTGGAATCATGAAACATTTGTTCTGGTGTGTTGGATTTATTTCAGTTAGCGTGTCATCAAGGTTCATTTCTGCTGTTACATGTACCAGAATTTGATTCCTTATTTATTGATTTATTTTAAGGTTTTTGCCATAGGACACATGCGCTTGCTGGAGAGAGACAGAGAATGACAGTGAGAGGGAAAGTGAGAAACTGCCCCCAGCAGAGATGGCTACACTGCAGTGCCCTCTCCTCCTAGGATGTGGGACACACTCACACGCGTATGATGTCATTTTCACGCTGCCAGATCTGGGATGGGAATTGCGATCAGCCATGTGGGAGTCCAGTGCCTTAACCCCTCCCCCCGTTCTCTAACCATTGTAACTGTGTTTGTTTCTTGTTATTCGTTTTTAGTCTTTGCTATAGGGGATGTGCATTCACCAGAAAGAGACAGAGACAGACAGAGAGGGAAAGTGAGGCAGCACCTCCCAGGGAGGATGGCCAGGGGGCAGTCCCTTCTCTTCCATTCCCCTCTCGGGTATTTGAGCACGTGCACATCTGTGCCTGGTGTGATTGTGCAAGCTTCCAGGTCGTGGACTCGAGCTGCATCATGGGATCCAGCAGCCTTAACTTCCATGCCAGCTGCTGGGCTGATTTTAACTGTTTTCACCATACGGTTCAGTTGTGTTAAGCATGTTTGCATTGCTGTGCCTTGAGGTAGGCCGAATGATGCTCCCTGTGTGCGTATGCTCTGGTGCTCCCTGTATGTACACACTCTGGTGCTCCCTGTATGTACACACTCTGGTGCTCCCTGTATGTACACGCTCTGGTGCTCCCTATGTACACACTCTGGTGCTCCCTGTGTGTACACGCTCTGGTGCTCCCTGTGTGTACACACTCTGGTGCTCCCTGTATGCGCACGCTCTGATGCTCCCTGTGTGCACACATTCTGGTGCTCCCTGTGTGTACACACTCTGGTGCTCCCTGTGTGCACACGCTCTGGTGCTCCCTGTGTGCGTACGCTCGGGTGCTCCCTATGTACACACCCTGGTGCTCCCTGTGTGCACACGCTCTGGTGCTCCCTGTGTGCGTACGCTCGGGTGCTCCCTATGTACACACCCTGGTGCTCCCTGTGTGCACACGCTCTGGTGCTCCCTGTGTGCGTACGCTCGGGTGCTCCCTATGTACACACCCTGGTGCTCCCTGTGTGCACACGCTCTGGTGCTCCCTGTGTGCGTACGCTCGGGTGCTCCCTATGTACACACCCTGGTGCTCCCTGTGTGCACACGCTCTGGTGCTCCCTGTGTGCACACGCTCTGGTGCTCCCTGTGTACATGCTCTGGTGCTCCCTGTGTACACGCTCTGATGCTCCCTGTGTGCACATGCTCTGGTACTCCCTGTGTGCACACGCTCTGATGCTCCCTGTGTACACGCTCTGGTGCTCCCTGTGTGCACACGCTCTGATGTTCCCTGTGTGCACACGCTCTGGTACTCCCTGTGTGCACATGCTCTGGTGCTCCCTGTGTGCACGCTCTGGTGCTCCCTGTGTGCACACGCTCTGATGTTCCCTGTATGCACGCTCTGGTGCTCCCTGTGTGCACGCTCTGGTGCTCCCTGTGTGCACACGCTCTGGTGCTCCCTGTGTACATGCTCTGGTGCTCCCTGTGTACACGCTCTGATGCTCCCTGTGTGCACATGCTCTGGTACTCCCTGTGTGCACACGCTCTGATGCTCCCTGTGTACACGCTCTGGTGCTCCCTGTGTGCACACGCTCTGATGTTCCCTGTGTGCACACGCTCTGGTACTCCCTGTGTGCACATGCTCTGGTGCTCCCTGTGTGCACGCTCTGGTGCTCCCTGTGTGCACACGCTCTGATGTTCCCTGTATGCACGCTCTGGTGCTCCCTGTGTGCACGCTCTGGTGCTCCCTGTGTGCACACGCTCTGGTGCTCCCTGTGTACATGCTCTGGTGCTCCCTGTGTACACGCTCTGATGCTCCCTGTGTGCACATGCTCTGGTACTCCCTGTGTGCACACGCTCTGATGCTCCCTGTGTACACGCTCTGGTGCTCCCTGTGTGCACACGCTCTGATGTTCCCTGTGTGCACACGCTCTGGTACTCCCTGTGTGCACATGCTCTGGTGCTCCCTGTGTGCACGCTCTGGTGCTCCCTGTGTGCACACGCTCTGATGTTCCCTGTATGCACGATACGCTCAGGTGCTCCCTGTGTGCACATGCTCTGGCGCTCCCTGTGTGCACATGCTCTGGTGCTCCCTGTGTGCGTATGCTTTAGTGCTCCCTGTGTGCACACGCTCTAGTGCTCCCTGTGTGTGTACACTCTGGTGCTCCCTGTGTGCACGTGCTCTGGTGCTCCCTGTGTGCACGCACTGTGGTGCTCTGTGCGTGTGTACGCTCTGGTGCTCCCTGCGTGTGTACGCTCTGGTGCTCCCTGTGTGCATACACTGTGTGTTGTCTACCCTTCTCCTTCAATGGACTTGTAGTAATTTCCGTATCTCGGCTATTCAGAATAATGATGCTTTTTTTCTTGACTTCTTTTAAAGATTTTAGGGCTCTTTTTACTTAAGCGCATTTTCACCTGTAAATAAAATAAAGCTTTAGAACTTCGTGATGTCAACCAATTCTGAAGCCTGAAGGTGAAACCAGAAGAGGTGTTGGGTGTAGGAGAGCGTCTCAACTGCGGGCACATGATGAAGCGATTAGCTGGAAACTGAACCTTGTTTGTTTACTCAAGGAAATAGCCAGCAAGTGCCCGTGAAGAGCGAAGGAGACGATGGTGAGACTTCGAAAAAGGGCGACACAAAGTCTTCCTCAGAAAAGAAAACCCACAAAGCACCTAAAGAAGACGCGTGTTCTGACAAACAGGACGTGCCTTCAGTGGAGGTCTGTATCCCTTTTTCTCCCCCCTGCTTGTTAAAAGGAATAAAACCCACTTTCAGGGCTTTGCGTGCAAATACCTGTGTCATAAGTGCACATGTGTAGTTCATGTTTTCCGCGCATACGAATCCACATTGCTAACTGGTGAGTTCGAGCTGTTTGTTCAGGAAGTCTTATTTCCCTCCTAACTATTGGGCCATTCGGAAAGTCGCGAGGCACTTGTGCATGGGGAAATACATCATGACTTTCCCAGTGATCTGATATGTAGGTGATACTGAAATCAGTATCTGAAAAGTGCAATTACTGACAAGAGAAACTATTTGTTTTTCTTTTTTTAAAGAGTTTTTGCCATAGGATGCATGTGCTTGCAGGAGAGAGACAGAGAGAGGGAAAGTGAAACATCACCCCTCAGGGTAGATGACCACACCAGCATCTTCTGGGATTTTGGGCACACACGCGCACACCCAGTGTGATTTGGAAGCCCCTGGGTCTCCAGGACTTGAACCACAATTGGTCATGTGAGAGTCCAGTGTCTTAACCACCATGCCACCTGCTGGCCCCTCAGGAGAAATTACTCTTAATCAGATGGGTTACTCCTGGGTGACAACAGCAGAAGAGAACTGGGTCACATACCCCTTGTACCCTGCTGTCACCAGAACTTATTTTCTAGGGCATATTCTTGCCACGTTGTATCACTTTTCATCTTTATCCCCATGCTTATCGTCGCCTCCCCTCTGAAGGGTCAGAAAAGTATTCACGATCTAATAGAAGAAAAGTGTGCTGATGTGAGGGAAGGCCTAGCTTTGTAGGTCACAAGGACACACTCTGTACTCCAGGGAAAACTGATCCATAGAGGTGGACACAGGCACACCCTAGGTGACCAGTCAAAACACAGAGAGCTGTGCTCGTAAAGACGGGAAAACGGCAGCGCAAATGGAAGCGTGTCTCAGACGTCTCCGTAGGAACATGCCATCCCAGGAAACAGTGGAGGAAGGTGGAGGGAATAAAAATGTGAACAGGGATATTGTCACCAAGTTGGCATTCAGACACACGGGCAGTGGCAGACACCCTTAGACGCAAGGGAACACACGAGCCTTTCTCGAAAGATTAAGTTACTTGAACGTCTAAGCAGCCAAGATAGAGGTAAACATAGAGTCGGGGGCCAGCAGAAGGCGTGGTTAAGATGCTGGATCCCACGTGGCCGACTGTGCAGCCTAAGCCCTGGACCTAGCAGCTTGATAATCATGTTGGGCACACGTGTGTGCCTGTCCAAAATCCCAAGAAGAGACTGTGGCATGGCCATCCCCTTCGCCGTGGGGTGATTTCTCACTTTTCCTTTCTGTTTCTCTTTCTCTGTCTCTGCCTTTGTCTCTCTCTCTAGTGAATGCATGTGCCCCATAGCAAAAAACCCTGAAAAATAAAGACTCAGGATTCAAGAAGCCAGGATGAAGGTCTATTGGTTTCATTCCATTTTATATTCAGAACCAAGACTAACAACTGGCAATTACGAGGGGACTTCAGAGTTTGTGGAAAATGGAATTAAAGTACAAATGTATTTTAGCACAAAAAAATTTCAAAATCTATGCATAGGTCGGTCTTTCTTTCTTTCTCTCTTTCTTTTTTTTCAGAGATTTTTTTTGCTATAGAGTGTGTGTGCTTGCCAGAAAGACACAGAGAGACAGAGAGGCAGAAAGAGAAATCCCCAGGGGGGATGGCCACACTGCAATCCCTTCTCCTCTATTCTCCTCTCGGGATCTTGGGCACGCGCGCATTCGTTGGCTTGAGTTTAAGTCACCAGGTCCGGGACTCGAGCCACGGTTGACTACATGGGAGTTCAGTGACAGACATAGCCATTACGCCAACTGCTGGTCCCCATGCAGAGGTTGTTCATAACGCACATTCTCCGCGAACTGTTTGAAGGCCCTCCTGGGTTGTTGAGGGGAGACGTGGAGGCCAGGTCTCATCCTGCAAGGAGGCCGTGACGGCCAGGAGGCATGGTGTGTGGAGCCTGTGTTTGGGCAGGAGGAGGGGTGAAGTGCAGGAAGAGGATGTGAAAGACACTTTAGAAGAACTATCAGGACTCCTTAGCTCATAATCACACGAAGGAGAGGAGTCTTTTTGTTTTGTTTTGTTTGGTTTTGTTTTAAGTAACCATTAGCAAAAGATGGATTCCAAGGTTCAAAACCTCTATAACTAAAAGATGGGGACTGGGCCTACTGGTGCTTTCGTAGTTTAAGCGGCTTGCAAAACAGGTGTGTGTGTGTGTGTGTGTGTGTCAAGTTGAGAAAAGAGGGAGAGATGGAGGAGAAGGAACTATACTGAGACCATCTCCCTGGGGTTCTTTCTCTCCCCACCCCCTCCTCCCTCCAGCAAGTGCACGCACCCTGTGTATGTGTATATATGTATACTACATATACACATGTACACATATACACATACATACGTGTGTGTGTGTGTATAGAATTGTGTTTAATGTTGAGCTCATTCTCTGTCTCTCAAACCCATGTTGCCCCACCGTTACGCACAGGGACTGCAGAGCCCAGCTCAGCGCTTACCCGCTCGGCCATGCTGGGCTGCAAGCTCCTCGGCCGCACCCCTTCCTGTGCGGTGAGGGTCCTAATCGTCCACCTCCCTCCTTGGGCGCGAGGCTTAGACCAGCCAGTTGAGAAGGGTTAGGATGCTGGGCTTTCCCGGAGTGCCAGGTGCAAGGATGGACCCCACCACGCCGTTGGCGGCTGGACTTGAGCGAGCCGTGCACTAGACAGCGGGAGGTGGGGTCTGCTACCCTGGGCCAGGCCTGGGGCCCGCGACTCCGGGGGCTTCCTCTGGGAGGTAGACCTGCCTAACGGGCCGCATCCTGAGGTGTGTGCAGAGACCCGCGCCTACGACTATACCTTGGGCCGTGGGAAGTTGCAGGCGGTTGAGGGTGTGGGCACGGCTGACGGGTAGAGGCTGGGCCAAAAGAGAGGGTCTGCTTTCAGGAGAAGTGGAGCCTCTCACTGGGATTGGAGTGAAGGAGGGAAGCCAGGAGTCGGCCCCACACCCTTTCCATGCAGGTTTGCCGGGCTTATTTGTGGCCCTGCAGAGAACTCCACGCCCAGAGGTGGCTGGGGGCCGTGCAGCCTTGTGTGCTGGGAGAAGGTGCAGCACGTCGCCCAGGGTCCCTCAGTCAGGGGCACCCATCTGCACCTGCGTGGTCACCAGTCCCTGACTCAAATCTACCCCCACCCGATGCGTCTCCTGCCCTGGGCTTCTGTGCCAGGCCTAGCTCTCAGCTCGAAGCTGTCGGTAGTAGACGTTTCCTTAATTTGTTAAAGCTCTCCCCTGTCTGTGTGTCTTTGCTGTTAGGTCCCCAGGGCATGGCTGAGCTCAGGTGGTTCCGGACCTCGGTCCCAGTGGCTACACGAGGCCCTCCCCTCTCTAGTCTGTGGCCCGGGTGGGACAAATCTGAGCCTAGTGGTGACGGCTGACTCCACAGTGAGGTGCCCGCGCCAGGCAGGTGGGGACCCAGGCCACACCTCACGGCCCGAGGTTGCCCAGGAACAAGCCAGCTGAGTGGGCTTCCTGGAGCCGGTCTGGGGCTGCCGGCCAGCACGTCCCCGCTGTCTCTGTGACTCACGCCCTGCTTTACGGAGCTGCTCTGCAAACTCCCCCGGGCCTGCTTTCCATTTCATTGTTCCCTTGGAAAAAATGACCCTCGATAAACACATTCCCAAGTGCAGGGCTTGGTGTTTGTTTTTCCTGCGCATTTCTTAGGGCCTCACTTTGCAGCTTAGAAAATGGTGTAAATCTGTCCATAGCACAAGGGAACATTCCTCTAGATTTATTGGCAAGGAAGTCCGCTGGAGTCCAGGTTGCGACGCCACAGACTCCACGTTAACCCTAGCTCTGGCTGTGCAGTTTTAAGGCGGATTTTTCTCCCCTTAGGAAAGTAACTCTTGGTTATTACAGAAGCATCCCAAAATAAGGGGGAAAAGATCTCTCCAAAAGGAACCACTTTACCTCGGTTCCCTATTCTGTAGCTTTGCCATGCAAAATGTAAACAACTTTACTGTTTTATTTGAGCGTGTTGAAATCCTTAAGATAACGATCCTCATTGTGTATGTATTGCTTTGTTATCTTGTTTTAATACTGTTGGGTTTTCGCATGAGAAAACGAGTCATGACTTTCCTGATGAGCTAATAGCTCCCTCGTGTTGTTGAACATTAATGGGAGCTTTGTTTGCAGCGGTTATAGACCATCCAGCTTGTGACTGTGTTGTCATTGGAACCGTTCTCCTGCACATGGACACTAAGGGGGTTTCCAGTTCACGTTGGTAATAGCTCAGCGCGTACTGGGGAACTCTGGCCCACAGGTTTGGCGTGTCCTCGTTGTGGTCGTGTAGACAGAGGAGGGCAGGACCAGGCGTTCAGGCTCCTCGTGCACGCTGCAGAGAAGTCGGTGCCCGTTTACACACACGCGTGTGCCACACGAGGGTGCTGGTTTTGTCCTCCTATCCACAACCCCGTCATTGGCAACGCGTGGTCGGTGTGACAGTGAACAATCGTGTGTGGCTTCCATCCCAGTGTGTGTCCTCTGAGGAAAAGTGAAGTGTCTTCCTAAGTTTCCATTTTCTGTGAAATGCTGGAAAATACAAAAAAGTTTTTTAAAAAAATGGCCTGCCTGAATGTCTGGCACTGAGAAGATACTCTCTAAATTGAGAAGTGAATGTCCAGAGGCAGCAGATGGCATAGCAGGTTCATCACCGGGCTTCCACTGGGCCGACCACGGTCTGAGTCTTGGACCTGGTGGATTGAAACTCATGCCAGCACATGTGTGTGTGTGTGTGTGTGTGTGTGTGTGTGTGCGCGTGCACAAGATCTTGGGAGGAGAATGGAGGAGATGGGATTGCAGTGTGGTCATCCCGGGGGGTGATTTCTTACTTTCCCTCTCACTGTCTCTGTCTCTCTCCAGTGAGTGCATGCATCCTCAGGCAAAAAAACTCTAAAAACCCCCCACCAAAACAAAACACAAAGGAGTAACTGTCCAAACTGGTCTCCCACACCCCGAGGGGCGGCCCTGTCCGCTGCACCCGCCTCCTGCCGTGTGTGTCCGCAGGCCTCCACACGTGCCTCAGTCACAGCGGTTTTCTGGTACCAAAGGGAAGGTGAGGTAGAGGCTTGTCTGTAACCTGCCTCTCTTAAAAACGCATTTCCTGGGAACCAGCAGTTAGCGTAATGGCTATGTCGCTGGACTCCCACGTAGTCGACCGCGGTTCGTGTCCCGGACCCGGTGGCTTAGAACTCACGCCGGGCGCGTGTGCGTGCGTGCCCAAGATCCCGAGAGGAGAATGGAGGAGAAGGGATTGCGGCGTGACCATCCCCCCTGGGGGTGATTTCTCGCTTTCTGTCTCTATGTCTCTCTCTGTCTGTCTGGCGAGTGCACGTGCCCTACAGTGAAAAATCTCTCAAAAAAAAACCACATTTCCTTATGAAATATTTTGGATGAACTCTTTTTTTCATTTTATAGTTCTTTTGTGAATTTGTGTATCATGTCCTTTGTCCACTTTTGTATTAAATGTTTTTTGTATTTTTCAGAGGTTTTTGCTATAGGGCGCGTGCGCTCGCTGGAAAGACAGAGAGACAGAAAGCGAGAAATCACCCCCCTGGAGAAATGGCCACACCTCAATCCCTTCTCCTCCATTCTGCTGTCAGGATCTTGGGCACGCACGCACATGTGCCCAGTGTGAGTTTAAGCCACCAAGTCCGGAACTCAAACCGCAGTCGACTACATGGGAGTCCAGCAACATAGCCATTACGCTAATTGCTGGTCCCCTCAATTGTGTTTTTTCCTTATTTCCTCTAAGAACACTTTCTGTGTAAATGTGTCTGTTAGATATCGTGTGTCAGATTTTGTTTTCAAGGTTAGTCTTCTTCCTCCCATTGTTTTCCTTTACATACATATACATACACCTCACACACACATGCACACCTCACACATGCATGCACATACCTTTCACACATTTCTCACATACGCACACACCTCACATGCACTCACACACCTCACACATGCACACCTCATACATGCGCACACACCTCTTGTGTGCACACACCTCTCACACCTGTGCACACACTTCACATGTGCGCACATACCTCTCACACACATGCAGACCTCACACACACACACCTTACACGTCACACACAGCTCACACACATGTGCAACACACGCCACACACCTCTCACACACGTGCACTCACTTCACATGTGCACACATACCTCACACACATGCAGACCTCACACACACACCTTACACGTCACACACAGCTCACACCCATGCACACCTCTTACGTGTGTGCGTGCACCTCTTACATGTGCACACACATCTCACACATGCACACCTCTTACACATGCACGCACACCTCTCACACAGTGGTCTGAAGAATGCCTTTGTGCAATCTGTGGTTGCTCTTTTTGATTTCCGGCTCTGCGTTTACCACGGCATGGGAAATCCTTCTGCACTTACATCAGCGTGTCACTGCTAGGGGCCAGGTGATAGTGCAGCCCATGAGCAAGGCCCTGGGTGTGTGTCCTGGGACTCCCTGTACATGCCAGGCACGTGTGTGCGTGTCCGTGCTCTGGGCCAGCTGAGACAGGAGTGGGCCGTGACCCGGTTGGGGGTGCTCGTCTGTTTCTTTCTCCTAGAAGAAATAGACACCTAAGAACATAGGACACCCCTCTGTTAGGGAGGTGGAGAGCTTAGCTCGTTCCGGCAGTGATGACGCTGGCCAGGTCTCGTGTAAGCCGCTTCCTGTGTGCCGGGAAGGGGATCCCGAGAACAGCCTCCGAGGGAGCCCCCGGACGGGCCGAGCAGCCTCGCACCTTGGCCAGGATTACGCAGTGGGGCCTGTGGAGCCTCCTGGGCTCCCAGTTGGCACTGCCTCCGTCGGGGAGACCCTCCACACCGCGAGCAAAGCGCCAGGCCCCCGCCCCGGATGGGCTGTTGGACCCTGATGTGCCCCCTCTGCCCCGCACTCTTCGCCGGCCGTGGCCACGCCCTCCACTGCGTTACTTCTGATGTCTGTTCCCTCCCGGTTCCTCCCGTGCCTCCTGTCGCCGGCTCACCGTCCGCGACCCGGTCCCTCCCTCCCAGCACTCCTGTGTGTGTGTCCCTTCTCGCCCGCACCTGGGGACAGTTCCAGCCAGAGGGACGTGAGAGGCAAGCCACATGTCAGGGTGACCACCGGCTGGCCACGCCCTCTCCAACCCCACTTAGAGACCCGTCTCAGTGCCTGACCCTGGGGCGGGCAGGTCACCTGCTGGCTGTGCTGAGGGGACAGGGTGGGACAGGATGGGGAGTAGGAAATCCCCAGAGGAGCAGCGTGGCAGCAAACACACGTGTCTCCCACCTGCCGTGGACCCTGCGTCTGCAGGGCTTGTCACCTGCCCAGAATGCTCGCAGCTCAGGACGCGCCCACGTACTTACTGCGGGAGTGAAGGGGCGTAGGGAAGGCGCCATTCCAGAACCCCATGCATACCTGGTTTTGTGGGTTTCTTTTGCTTCATTGTAGCAGGCACCTGGCCTTTACGGCGGCACGGGGACTCCGAGGCCACAGACGTACTGGGTCGTCAGGAAGTCATGAAGCACGTTTACCTAGAACAGAAAAGGCATCGTGGCGTTTCTCATAGCCCAATCGGGTCTGTAGGCAGAGAATCCCAGACCCGTCTGGCTTTTCGAATCCTGTCTGCCAGGCAGGATGGATTAGAATGATGGATAAGAATCCATCTGCGATCTGCACCAACCTTCTGAAAAGGTCAAACAAGCCCATCTTTGCCTTTTGTCTCCCTTCTCTCTCCTTTTTTAAGTTTTAAAAAATAGTTTCCATTCTTTATCTGTGCAGTTCTTTATTCTTTTTTTTTTTTTTTTAACTTGCCAGAGGTGGGACCAGCAGGGGGTGTAAACTCCCTCCGGGGCATGTGTGCATACGTGCCCTAGAGGAGAATGGAGGAGAAGGGATTGCGGCGTGGCCATCCCCCCCGGGGGGTGATTTCTCGCTCTCTGTCTCTCTGTCTCTCTCTGTCTGGCAAGCGCACGCGCCCTATAGCTGACAGTAACTGCTAGCGCTGACGCCAACAGCAAGCTGACCATAAATTGCTAGCAGATGTTTTTCCTGCCTAGCCCTCAGGAATTGTATAGGCAACAATTCCCTTTTTCTTCTCTTTCGACGGAGCTCGAGGAAAGTAGAAAAAGGAGGGAGACGACAGCCTAGAGATGGAGGAGCACACGTCTGAGTGGTCGCCAGTGCTGGGAGTTCCGAATTCCGAGCGAGTTGGCCTTCAGAAGTGACCGGACGGCAGAGAGGTTTTTACCCATGCGCAGTCAGCATAAGCCACTGAAAGCTTTTTTTCTTTTTTCCTCTTTAGCAAGAAGATCCTTATAGGAAGAAGAAACTTCCGGGGAAAAAAGAAGGACATTTACAAAATTTAAATTGGAATAAAAATCGAACATGTAAGAAAAACAAGAAGCGAGGAGTGGCTCAGGTCTCGAGGTACGTGACTCGTAATCCCTGTGAAATCGTGTTATTTCGCACTTGATAATTTCGCCACGTGGGAGTCCAGTGCCTTACACTACGCCACCTGCTGGCCCCCAAGGTGCATTTTTAAAAACAGATTTCTGACATGCTAAAGAAATCAATAAAAAGTTATTTAAAAATAGCTTTCAGGTAGCCTGCAGCTGATCACAATGCTTCGAGAACTCGATCATTAAGACGGGTCAGTAGGTGGGGCCGGCAGGTGGCATGGTGGGTAAGGCAGCCAGACTCCTCGTGGCTGGTGGTGGTTTGAGTCCCAGACCTGGCAGCTTGCTTTCTCTCTTTCCATCTTTCTGTCTCTGATCAACCTCAAAAAAATAGAATAAAATAATGACAATGAATAAAATAAAATAATTCTTTAAAAAAAAAAAAAGTCTCGTAGGTGGTTGTTGGGGCTCACTTTCCTGGGCTGTTTTTGTGGGTATGTGCCCTTGTACGGATCTGAAACCAAGGAAGTACCGACTCCACCTCCCGCATTTGGTTTTCCAAAAAAAATACAAACCAAGTGCCGAGGTAGGCCCCGTGTTCTCGACGGCCTTCCTGTATTGCTGGTTACGGGATCCAATTACAGTGTCCCACAGGGGGCCGTGGCCCAGTAGAGGACTCTCTGACTTCTAGGTCCTGGGAAGCACGCTCCTCGTCGTCCCGGTAGCCGGCGTGCCATTATAACACGGGACACTTGGTGGTCACCACACAGGTGCCTGCCAAGGAGCCGAGCGAGAGTTGAAATGACTGCTCCCCGGTACCTTCGGTCAGACCCCAGGAGCAAGCTCACCTCGTGCAAATCGTATTTCACACACAAACCAGGAAAGCAAGGCTGGTGTCTTGGGTTCTGTCCTGAGCCTGCCCCCTCCTGGCTGACCTTGAGTGGCCTTGGAGTCTTGGCGCTCTGACTGTGAAGTGGGGACATGGAGTAAGCGAGCTCCAGGTTCATTTGAGTTCTGGAACGGCCACGTGGTGCCATCCCTCCCTGCTCGCCCACCTCCCGCCAGGCCCAGAGGGAGGAGGCATCGGCCATCCGGGGCCCTCTGCACTGGAGGTCTCACGGGACGGCCGTCCGCCTCCATGACCAGGTAGCCCTGACTCTAACGTGGTTCTCACAGGTCTCCCGAGCAGAGCGAGCTGAGGCTGGTGTGCAGTGACCTGGAGCGGGCCGAGCTGAGCGGGGACGTCCATGCGAGAACCTGGTGTGTTCAGGAGGGCTCCGGGCAGGTCTGTGAAGGCGACGCCAGGACCGCGAGCAACGTCCCTGCTGTGCAGAGAGGGGCAGGTGCGTGGGGGCCCGGGCCAGGTGCGGAGGGTCCTGTCTCAAGGCAGCACCCTGTGTGTAAGAAATGGTGTCTGTCAGGCACCGTGGCCGAGTACAAAGCTTTCAGGGTGAGACCAGGAAAGTCAGGCTCTTTGAGCCCCGACAGTCCTCTGGTGGCGTCCCCCGTCCTCTAGACCCCACCTGCCCCAGCCATCCTCATGAAGATTGCTGACGGAGCCACAGCTGCTGGCTTCAGACCAGACGCCTGGGTGGGAGAGAGGGACAGGCAGGCAAGGTGTTCCCCCACGCCTGAGCCAGGGGCATCTGTGGAGCCAGGCAGGCGCCCCACCTAGGGGCCTCTGGGCAGTGTCGCTGAGGGCGGGGGCCGGGGGAGCGCCCAGTGCTGGGGCAGGGGAGGCCACCGAGGTAGGCGGTATAGTGGGTTCAGGCTGGTGGGTTCAGCACCCCCCTCTGTGACACACGCCCCATCCTCGCACTCAGCGGGCAGGGCAATGGTGACCGTGTGCTCTCATTTCTGGGACACACGAGTATTACCGTGGGGCCTTCCTGGAGGGTCTTCCCCCCACGTAGTCATGCTCAGACACTTTTAGTGACTGTAAAATGGGGAGGGGTACCCCCACATCTCCGGTCCAGTAGGTGCTTCCTTGGTGGAAGCTTGGCTGTTTTGGGCGTAGAGTCAGCTGGAGCTCTGGGTCACGGTGGAGTAGGGGACACGGGCTCAGGGCACCCAGCGATGGACTCTGTTCCGGGGAACATGTCATTGGGCTGTCTTGTCACCGTGTGCGCGTCAGAGTGGACTCCACAGACTCAGACACGCTTGCCCGCGGCGCGCCAGGGCTGTGTGTCATAGTCTGTGTGCCCTGGGCTCTGTCCCCGCACACGCAGGGCACCATCCCTCAGACCGCAGTCTGCAGTGCGTGACCACGCGGTTATGTGGGCTTTCACCACCTGTCCCTCGTTCCCGAGGTGCCCCGTGGCAGGCCACACAACTGGCCGTGTAATTGAGGCTCTCTCTCCAGAGCTGTCCCCCGCTCACCTGGGGAGCAGGGAGCTGTGCACAGAGGCCGAGAAGAAGCCGCACAGGCAGGCCTCGCTGGGTTCCCTGGTCAGGTAGCACGGGGTCACCCGTTTCACCCAGTCAACATCAGCCATGCCCGTGCACCGAGGTCTCCATGGAAACCCAGCAGGGCAGGGGCCTGAGAGCTTCCAGAGAGCAGGCATGGGGGTCCCTGGAGGGGGGCACACCCTTCCTGCACTCCTCGCCTGCAGCTCTGCAGCCTCAAACCCTTCCCAGCAAACCTGTACACACGGGTGTTTCCTGAGTCCCGTGAGCTGCTCTAGCAAATGAACAGAACCCCGGGGAGGGGGTGTGGGGACCTCGGTGGATGCCAGTCAGTCGGAAGCACATGAACCCCGCAGGGTTGGGACCTGTAGGCGGCATAAAGGTTATGTTGCTGGACTCTCATGTAGTCGACTCCAGTTTGAGTCCCGGACCTGGTGGCTTAAAAACTTACGCTGAGCTCATGTGCATGTGTATGTGCCCCCAAGATCCGGAGGAGCGACTGTGGCATGGCCATCCCCCTGGGGGTGATTTCTCACTTTCCCAGTCTCCAGTGAGCACACATGCCCTATAGCAAAAATCTCTCAAAAACAAAAAAACAAAAATAAAACAAAAAAAGCAAAGCAGCCGGGGCTTGTGCTCGACCTCAGAAGCAGGGTCGGGGGAAGTCCCAGGCGGAGCCCGTGGCCTCCAGGATGTGGCGCTGTCTGGACGTGGCTAGTGTCAGAGCTGAGCCAGGCACAGAGCTGTTGCTGCCTGCAGGTGGGGATCCTCACAGGCCTTGGGGTGTGGACGTGGCTGCTGGGAGCAGTGGAGGCTGAGTGCCCGCCTTCCTGTGGAGACACCGTCTAAGCCCCCATCCCTTACTGTCCCCCACCACTTTGGGGGAACTCTCCTCGGCGGTGCACAGCGGTGTCCAGCCTCGACGCTGCACTGACCTCTGCCTGTCCTGCTCACAGTGGCACCCTGGGGTGAGGTCCTCCCTGAGCCGCCCTCCTCTCCTCCTCAGAGCGTCCCTGCAGGAAGCCCGGGCACAAGTGCGCTGACAAGTTCTGCTCCGACTCCAGCTCCGACTGCGGCAGCTCCTCGGGCAGCGTGCGTGCCAGCCGCGGCCGCTGGGGCAGCTGGAGCAGCTCCAGCAGCTCCGAGGGGGACAAGAAGCCCGCGGGGGACCCGGGGCGCTTCCCGCTGGCCGGTGAGTCCCTGGAGACCGTCTTCCACCCCCTGCCAGCCAGGTCAAGGGCCAGATCTGCTCACAGCAGAGGCCAGGCGGGCTGTGGGGCTGGGGCCGCACTTCGCTTAAACATCTGCCCTCTCATCCTTCCTCCCCTCCCGTCCTCCTTCCCTTCATCACCGTCCTTGTCAGTTTTTTAGTGTCTGTCTCTGAAAAGTTAAAAGAGCTTCCACATTGAGTGTTTTCACCGTCTAATTTTTGTTTTTAAGGATTTTTGCCATAGGGCGCGTGCGCTCATGGGAGAGAGACAGTGAGATGGAAGGGGAGAACTCACCCTTCGGGGAGACGGCCACACCACAGTCCCTGCCGCCCAGTTCTTCCAAGGTTCTGGGCGTGCATGTACACGCTCCCATGTGTTTACAAGCACCAGGTCCAGGACTCCAACTGCACCATGTGTAACCCAGCCCCCTTACCCTCGCACCACCCACGGGCCCTGTGTCTGTCTTCTCCAAGCGTCAGTATCTCTGTAGAGACGTCAACGGACGTGTGTTACCTACAACCTAGGGGAAGGGCCACTGCAATTTCCTGGCTACATTTCTTTCCTCAGGAGAAAAACACCCTCTTAAAAAGTTACATGACGTTGACGTTTTCAACTTTTCTCCGTTACAAAATGCCTTATTAATCCAGAATTCTTAAATTTAAATGTTGACTGTTATTAATTTTTTGACAGAAAGATAATTTATAAAAAGCCTTTTAAAAATTAAACTATTGGCTGGCCCCAAGGCTTAGTAGTTAAGAGAGCTGGATCCCATATGGCAAACTAGGGTTCCAATCCTGGTTCTGACAACTGGAAAAACAGAGCGTGTCTGTGCACGTGTGTGCACACTCACACATGCATGCCCCAAATCCCAAATAAAGGAGAACTGGAGGAGAAGAGGGTGTGGTATGGGCCTACCTACTGGGGATTGCTTTTCTCTCTCCCATGAGTGCATGTGCCTTCTGATAAATTGCAAAAAAATTAAATTATCGAATGTGTCAATATCCGTTTAAAGTTAAAAATAACAGGACCTGCAGTTGACATAATGGCTATGTCGCTGGACTCCCATGTAGTGGACCGCAGTTTGTGTCCTGGACCTGGTGGCTTAAACTCACGCCGGGCACGTGTGCGTGTGTGCCCAAGATCCCGAGAGGAGAATGGTGGAGAAGGGATTGCAGCATGGCCACCCCCCCCCCGGGGGGTGATTTCTCGCTTTCTGTCTCTCTGTCTCTCTCTGTCTTTCTGGCGAGCGCACGTGCCCTATAGCAAAAACCTCTCCAAAAAAATTTTTTTTTTAACTTGCTCATTAGGGGTTAATGGTATTTACAATCTATGCATTTAAAATATTTGTAAAGACTTAATGGCAGTGTGTTTTGTTTGAATACAGGAGACAGCGTTTCACAAAGTGGTTTTCCTTCTGAAACCTCCATTTCCTTGAATCTTTCTCATGACATCTGCAATCCCACGTGAGTGTTTAATTTTGGTGCGTTTGCAAAATGTGTGCTTTTTATCTCCCTCTCTCTCTCTCTCTCTTTTTTTTTTTTTACTGTTTGTTTGTTTTCTAAGGTTTTTGCCATAGCGTCCACGTGCTCATCAGAGAAATACAGAGAGGGAAAGTGAGAAATCGTGGCCTGGAGGGATGGCCACACTGCGGTCCCTCCTCCTCCTCTCTCCCCTCGGGATTCTGGGTGCGCACACACATGTGCCCAGCGTGATTCTCAAGGTGCCGAGTTCAGGGCTCAAGCTGCAGTCAGCCATGTGGGAATTCAGCCCTGTGCCACACCACTAGCCGGCCCCCTGCCTCCTCTCTTTCATTGCAGAAATGAAACATTTTCCCTCACTTCCCCTGCCTCTGTGTCTCACTCCAGCAAGTACACGTGTCCTATGGCAAAAACGTAAAAAAAAGAAAAAAAAAGGAAACAGGAAAGGCAGTCGTTACAGTGCTGGGAACCGTCTGCCCTCGCCAGGACTAGGATAAACAAGAGCATCAGCGAGTCGGAGGCTGTTCCACGACCCCATTGGGGACGCGGATGCTCACGGCCCACCGTGTGCGGTCTGCAGCCTCAGACAGAGCAGAGAGAGCAGCGGGCTGTGGGCGAGGAGGAGGGCGGGAAGAGGGTGCAGAGGGAAGGGCGAGGCCCGCGGAGGGCAATGCAGGGGTGCGGGAGCCTCGTGCATCCTGTCACCCAGGGTGTCAGGGAAACGGCCAGAGGGCTGGGCTGGCCGCAGGCAGGCTGGGAGTCCGTCGGTGTTTGCCGAGGCAGGCCTGCGCCGGTGCTTGGATGTGACAGCCTGCCCTCCCCAGCTGCATGGCCCTGGCTCTGGCCGCTACGTGTTCCTTTGGGGAGGGACCCAGGTGTGGGCACCGTCCGACCTGGCCCTGTGGTGTTGGCGTTGCCTTGCCCAGGACCTTGGTCATCCTCTCTGCTCGCTTCCCCACAGGGATGCGGCTGGTCTCCCCCCGTTCGCAGAGCCGTCCTGTCCCAGCCTTCCAGCCGGGCCCACAGGTGACAGAGAGGACAAAGGTGAGACGCATTGTCCCTGCACGACCAGCGGCCAGCTGGAGAGGACCAAGTGGGTGGGGCCATTCCCAGGGCCTCCTCCCCTGCTGTTCATGCCTCAGGAAGGCCCTGCCCTTGGGGGGCCCTTGGGAGGCCTTTGACTTGGGCTCCCCCTCCCCTGCTGGCCCTCAGCGTCCATACCACACTCCCTCCTGCCCCCAGAGAGCAGGTGCCCACTGGCCCCGTTGGGATCCAGAGCCTTCCGTAGGGGAGGCTGACGTAACAGAAAAATGTCCCTAACACAACACACGGTGTCAGAGACCACCGAGAAAAGGACACACACACATACACACACTCAGTTCACAGGTCACAGGTGACGGAGCAGTGGGAGGTGACACATGGCGGAGAACAGAGAGGCTCAGAGGGGGAGCGGCCAGGGGGACAGCCGCAGCAGGGCCGACTCCACCTCCCTGTCCTCACTCCTTCCTGTCCCTCCTGTCCTACAGCCACTGGCCCTGCCAGGGAGCCCTGGGCGAGCTGTCTCTGACGGGAGGTCCCCTCCTCTGCCCCTTCTCTCTTTCTCTGTCACCTCCTATTTTACTGTAGGGCGTCTTGCCCACTTTGTTGGGGCCGGGACTGTGGCTGGACTCTGCTTCTGCTCTCTGGGGCGGCGGCTGCTCACACAGATGAGAGCTGGACTGAGAATGCTCTGCACATGGGGGGAATTTTCCCTCGAGAGTAGAAGGCTTTGGTCCTGCCCCCTGGATACACTTCAGACTTGCCCAGGAATCAGCCGTGAATCTTATGTGAATCAGGCCCAATGACTAGTCCACAGATTACATATTTCCAATTAAAACGTGTAACCCATAGTTTGATAAGACACAGTTTGGAGGAGGCTTACTGGCAGAGGTGACAGAAGAGGTAGGATTTAATTAATGCGAAGGAAAAGGGGGAGATCGCTTCCAAGCTGGTAGCCTTCAGCTGAGAGATCCTTAGGGCCCGGCCAGGAGACCCTGTCTGCACTGTGTGGAATGGTAGGCACCTTGCCTTCACTCCGGGGAGGCCCACCCTGCTCTCTGAGGCTTTGACCACACAGCATGGGAAGATGGGCCACAAAAGAGCAGCCCGTGCTTCCTTCAGAGGGTCCTGGACCCCGCAGACCCTCGGAGCACGTCTCCAGAGCACACGCCTCCCGTTTCCACGTGGCCTGGGGGTCTGGTACATTTTCTTGTGAGTTTCCCAGGTCATATCGATCCCACTCACAGGTGGGACCAACAGCGATTGTATCACATAGTGACACCTGCTCTCAGCGGGGCGAGGCCACCCTGAGTCCCAGCCCCAACCGGCTGAGACGTCCGTGGTGCCAGGTCTGCCTCCGAAAGCCAGGTGGTTTTGTCCTTAAGTTTCTGTCCCAACCTTCCGCCTGGCCAGGGGCATCAGCAGGGTGTTAGGGCTATGACCCCCCTCGGCCTGCAGGGCCAGCCCAGGGCTGTTTGGTAAGGACCCTGTCCTGGAGTCAGGCTGGCCTGCGTGCCGGCTCCAGCCTGCGGTACGTGGGGTCAACCAGCTGACGTCGGCAGGTCAGTCTCACGCCCTCTTCTCCAGGTGGCTGGCTCCTTCAGAGGGATCCGTGCTCTGAGTAGCCAGGGCGCCTCACTGGGGAGCCCCAGTCACCCAGATGCACCGTCAGTGCCAATGCCTTCGCCTGACCAGTGCAGGGGTGCAGGGCTGGTGTTTCAGGAGGAGGCCGACTGCTGCCTGGCCTGGGGCCCTTGGCCCATTCCGAAAAGAACTTGTGCTTTCTGGTCTGGGCTCCCAAGTGGGACCCTTGTCATTTGGTCCCAGGTGGCCGTGTGTCCCATTGTGGCCGGGCTGGCTGGTGAGCCCCGGCCTCCTGGTGTTCTGGAAGGGTCATGTCTAACCTGCGTCATGAAGGCACTGCTCGGTGACCTGCCCTGCCTGTCTTCCTCATCTGCGGCCGTGGAGCGAAGGTGGGCCAGCCCCGAGCTGCCCGTGGTGCTTCTCGCCGGTGGTGCAGGAGCCAGGCCGGCCCTCCGAAGGCCACGGGGCGGGTGGAGCCCAGAGCCCTCGGGGATGGGCCCAGCAGCAGTTTGGGAGCCCCCAGAATGCTCTCCTGTAGCAGGTGGGCTCCGGGCAGTTCTGGAAACGGGTCCTCCATGTCCCTCTGGGCCTCAGGTAGGCCCTCCAAGGTGCTGCTCCCACCCACTGCCCCTCCCCCGCCACAGTCCTCTGACTTGTCCCAGGAGCTGCAAGGTCACTGCCCTCCCCCCCACCCCCCAAGGCCTGTTGTGCCCCTTTCATCCAGAAGGGTCGGGTACAGAAGGACAAGGGTGCTCGTATAGAATTTGCAGGGACCCAGGGGTACCGCAGTGTGACCTGGCCTGGGCCCTGTGCAGGGTCCCCATCCGAGAGGTGGTGAGTCTTACCAGGCCAGCAAGGGCCCCAGGTGGCTGAGCCAGAACCCAGCACCTCACAGGCCTGCGGTGACGTGTCCTGACCCAGCACACTTCCAGGGCGTCTCCTGTTCCCATGGCAGCCACAGACTCTGGCCCCTCGGCTCCCCTCAGCTCTCTGGCCTCATCCTAGCCCCTCCCTTACCCTCCTTCAGGGCCCTGGCCATCCCGTCCCTGCCCGCACTGGCTCACTCCCCAGGCTCAGCCCCGTCTTGGAGATGTCCCCGCAGTGAGGCTTCGGCCAGGCTGCCCTTCCTTCTTCCGTTCCTTCCGCTGTCTCTGCTCACCAGCTGTCCCTCGTCCACGGCCGTGTCCCGGCATCTGTAAGGGGCTTGCTGAAGGGAGCTCCTGGTGGTCCAGGTCAGGAGCCCCGGGCTGCCCACAGTCCGGATGAAGCAGCTGCTGGAGTCGAGCAGTAACCCCCTGGGTTGCGAGGGCAGGCGTGATCAGTGCGGGTGGGTGACATGGGACTACCTTCCAGGGCGAGAAAACTGAGCTGCGTCACGGGCCGGGTGGGCAGGAGCTCAGCCTGTCCTCTTCCTAGGTCTGTGCCCCGCTGGAGACCTGTGGCCCGCCCAGCCGGTGTGCGTGACCAGCAGCCTGCACTGCCCGCTGGATGGTGGTGCGCCCTGCGTGCTGCAGGAGCCCGGCCCGCTCCACCCCAGGTACTTGTTCACCTTCGCAGGGCGCCGGCCGGCCGGGAGCTGGTGGCCGGCCGGGAGCGGGTCTGTTGGGTGGTCCCCCTTTCCCCCCATGTCCTGCCACTGCGTCCTTCCCTCTGCCTTTGGAATTGCATTGTGGTGTCGGAGAACACAGCAGACAGGACTGAGAGAAGCATGAAAGGGAGTGTAAGCGATAAGGCTGGCGTCCACATCATTGCTCTCCTCTCACTGTTTCAGAATTATGTCATTTTATTTAGTATCATTGTTTTTCAGTTTGCTATAGGGCACATGGACTTCCCAGAGAGGGAGAGGGGAAGTGAGAAAGCAAGTCGCCAGGTCTGGGACTCGAACCACAGTCAGCCACATGGGAGTCCAGCTCTTCAAACACACGCCCCTTCCTGACCCCACCTTTCTTTTGTTAATTTGAAAATGACCTATTCACGTATTAGGGTTACCATGAAAAACAGTCGTCATTCCTGCCCCAAAGAACGCAAGGCCCCGCGTCTCCATGTGTTGCTCTTGGGCATATTTAAAATGTGAAAGATTGGGGGACCAGCAGGTGGTGTGGTGGTTAAGGCGCTGGACATTCCCACATGGCTGACCATGGTTCAAGTCCTGGACCCTGGTGGCTTGCTTTCTCACTTTCTCTTTTTCTCTGTGTCTCTCTCTGGTCAAAATAAAATAAGTAAATGAGTAAATAAAATTCAAAATAATTAAAAATAAATAAATAAATAAAATGTGAAAGATTGAATAGGTTTTCTTTTTCTTTTTTGCAAATTAGCTAGAAAATGTGAGCACTCACAGGAGAACATGACAGGAAAGGGAGAAAGCTCCTTTGGGGTCCTGCTGCAACCCCTTCTCCCCCATTTCCGACTTGGGGACTTGGGGCACGCTTACCCCGGCACGTTTCTCAAGCTGCCAGGTCCGGGATTTGAACCACACAATTGTATTAAATCCAGCTGCCTTCAGTTAGCATAATGGCTATGTCACTGGACTCTCACATAGTCAACCGCGGTTCGCGTCCTGGACCTGGTGGCTTAAACTCTCACTGGGCGCGTGTGCGTGCGTGCCCAAGATCCCGAGAGGAGAATGGAGGAGAAGGGATTGCGGCATGGCCATCCCCCATGGGGGTGATTTCTCGCTTTCTGTCTCTCTAGCGCACGCACCCTATAGCAAAAACTTCTCCAAAATAATAATAATAATAATAATAATAATAATAATAATAATAATCCAGCTGCCTTAACCATCACCAGGCCGCTAGCTGGTTATGAATATCGAAAAATAGTTACACAATGGCAGTTTTCTTTTTTAAAATTTTGCCAGAGAACATATGTATTTCCTGGATAGTGACATAGAGGGGGAAAGTGAGACGTCACCCCCTCTGGGGAATGGTCCTGCTGCAGTCCCTTTGGGCACGCACACACAAGCATGCCATGTTTCTCAGGCCACCAGGCATGGGACCAGAACCGTGTAGACGGCCATGTGGGATCTAGCCTTAAGCAGCGTCTGGATTTTGGGCACACACACACAAGCATGCCATGTTTCTCAGGCCTCCAGGCATGGGACTCGAACCGTGCAGACGGCCATGTGGGATCTAGCCTTAAGCAGCACGCCACAGGCTGGCCTTCAGTTTCTTAAGTTCATTATTTCACATGGACATCATTCAGTTGGAAAACCTTGAGAAAAGGTTAGTATCTTTGTTTAGTTTTGCTTTGTTTTTAGGTTTTTCCCATAGGCACATGCGTGCGCCAGAGAGAGAGAGAGACAGAGAGAGAAAGTGAGAAATCACCCCGCCAAGGGGGATGGCCACAGTGCAGACCCTTCATTCTCTTGTCTGGATTTGGGGCATGCGCACACACGGCCGACATGATTTTCAAGCCTCCAGGTCTGGGACTTGAACCATGGTTGGCCATGTGGGAGTCCAGCGCCTTCACCACTGTACCACCTGCTGGGCTCAGTATCTTTGTTTACTCACAATCCATTTGAAGAGTCTTCTGGTTCGTTGTGTTCCAGTGGCATTTCCTGTCTCATCCGTAATGAGCCCTCAGTCTGCAGCCACGACCCGTGTCCCAAGGCAGGGTCTCTGTGGTCCTGGCCGCCCTGAGTGGAGGCTGGTCTGGCTCTGAGACCCGGGGACATTTCATAGCAGAACATGGAGAAGCCCCTCGCGGGTGCTGAGGCCCTCGGGTCTGCCAGGCCCTTCCGCGGTGCTCGCCTCGTGTTGCCTCGGGCTGTCTCTAGGTGACCCCGGCCAGCCTGGCTGTGAAGGAGGCGTTCCCTCGGCCAGGCCATCACCTGCAGGTGGCGTGCCACTTGGGTTCTCTGCATCCACCCTGGACTGTAGAGAGTGCACCTTTCGTTTTCAGAATTGGGGGACTTGCCCCGGTGAGGATGCCGGCTAGTAAAGTCCTTCTCTCGCCTTTGCTCGCTCTCTCGGGCTCCTGTCTCTGAAACGAGGCCTCTTGTTTCCGTAGCAGTTTCATTGACTGGGGCGCGGCATGCGAGGGCCAGCTGCCCAGCGTGTACTGCCCGTTGGAGCTGAACGATTACGACGCCTTTCCGGAAGGTGAGTGCATCGGAGCAGCCCGGGGTCCCTTTCGGCCCGAAGGTCAGAGCGGGAAGCGTGGGGACGTAAGGCGCTCACCTGCACAGGAACGTCTCCAACAGTGGGGGCATTGCTGGCGGCTTCCCGGTGGCCCGGACCTAGTCGTGCAGGCCGCCTAGCCTGCGAGACCTGGGCGCTGCAGGACACCCGTTGGAAGGCGGGGCACTGGTTTGCCGTTTGTTTTAGGCCTAGATTTCCTGCTCGTTCCTCCACTTCTCGACACTTCAGTCCCTGGGGACTGCTGCAGAAGGAGGACTGGAGTGGGGGTGCACGGGAGAGCTGCAGGTGCTCAGGCATTAGCGTCCGTAATAATAAACAGGAATGTGGGGTTTCTCGGGCCACCTGGACGATGCTGACTGGTGTGTGTAGCGGTCAGGATTTCTCGCAGTTACCTTTCTAGAAGGGCTGAGCTGCCTGTCAGGCATTGTTCTGGGTGTGGATATGTGCATTGCCCTGTGCCGGCCACCAGGGCGCGCCGTGGTGACTTCCTGTGGTGGCCGGCCTCTGCTCCCTCCTTACTGGGAGGGAGTGTTGGTTTCTCTTTGCTTTGTCAGCCCGCAGCTCGGTTCCCCATAGCTGAGGTTGGCGTGGCAGGCAGCAAGAGTTTTAGGGACTGGTAAGAACTTGACATTCTTCAACTCTTAGGGTATGCTCATACTAGAAGGTTCCCTCAGGGTGACCACGCAGGAGACCGAGCCCAGAGGAAGACCTTCCTCCCCGAGCCTTCCCACGTGTGTGCCTCGTGCACGGCCTCGCCTTGGCGTGCTCGTGAGGTGCCGCTCTGGTCCAGGCAGAGCGTGTACTTCCTGTCTGCCTCACTGCTGTGTGAGGCCAGGACGGTGCCAGCGTGTGAGGCCGTGTGTCAGGCTGGGATGGCACCAGTGTCTAAGGCGGGGATGACTGCAGTGTGTCAGGCCGTGTGCCAGGCCAGGATGGTGCCAGTGTGTGAGGCCAAGACAGTTCCAGTGTGTAAGGCAGGATAGCTCCAGTGTAAGGACCAGGATGACTCCATTATGCGAGGCCAGAACAGCTCCAGTGTGTGAAGCCAGGACAGCTCCAGTGTGCAAGGCTGGACGGCTCCAGTGCGGGAGGCTGGGATAGTTGTAGTGTGCAAGGCTGGGATAGTTGTAGTGTGCAAGGCTGGGATAGTTGTAGTGTGTGAGGCCAGGACAGCTCCATTGTTCAAGGCTGGGACAGCTCCAGCATGCAAGGCTGGGACAGCTCCAGTGTGTGAGGCAAGACAGCTCCAGTGTGCAATGCTGGGTCAGTGCCAACATGTGAGGCTGGGTGGCTCCATTGTGCCAGGCAGGAAGGCTCCCGTGTGCGAGGCCGGACGGCTCCAGTGCGCGAGGCCGGGCCGGCTCTCTCTCTGCAGAGCAGACCCCAGCTCTCTCCACGGCAGCGCTTACCTGTGCCAACGTCTCCGGTTTCTTCTCTAGAAAACATGAACTACGCCAACGGCTTCCCCTGCCCCGCAGAAGTCCCGACAGACTTCCTGGAGCACCACTCGCAGTCCGCCTGGAGCGCCCCGCCCAGCGTGCCTGCTGCCTGGGGACACGCCGGCTTCGTCGGCTCTCCGGTCAGTGCTGCCCCTCCCGGCCATGCGCCCGGGGTGCTGAGTCATGGTTTCTGGTCTCCACTAGCTTCATGGGTGTAGGCTGGCCAGAGGCAGGCTTTTCCTTGCAGATCACAGGCGCCCTGGCCGTCCCCTAGAAGGAGCCCCCCAGAACCAGGTGGGTGGGGCTCACGGCCTCGACCTGGGCAGAGCCGTCCCAAACACTCCACGCCATGATTGTAGCGAGACACGGCTGTTTCTGTGTCCTCGCTGGCCTTTTCTCCATGGTAAGAGGTGACAGGAAGGTCCCAGGAAGCTCATTCAGGTCAGTGGCCAGCCCCTGTGGTGAGCACCTTCCCTGCTAAAAAGCTGGACACGCCCCCTCCTCCCAGCTCCTTTTGGTTCTAATCGGTCACGGGAGGGGGGTGTGTGTGTGTGTGTGCACAACATTTTGGGCACCAGTTTTGGACTGGTTTTGCAGAAGACAGTTTTTCTACAGACCGGGGTGGGTGGTGGTGGTTTGTAAGAGCCCAACCTCCACCCCTGCCGTGCTGAGTTCAAGACGGGCTTCCTGCTCCTAGGAGCACATGGCCAGGCGAGCGATGGGGAGTGGCTGCAAATACGCGTGAGGCTTGGCTCACTCGCCCACCATGCGGCTGTCTCAGATAACAGTTGGGGTTGGGGACCCCGAGCTGTCAGATAAAGGGCACTGGCTGTAGGTCTTCCCTCGGATTGTCCAGTTAGGTGGGGGTTTCACAGCCCTCCCTTCGGGAAGAATCAGGTGCGGGCATCTCCGGTAGTGGGGAACAGCTCGGTGACACCCAGCGACCTGGCTTGACGCTGTCATGGTGCGCTGGGGTCTGTCCAGCCCTGACGTCGTCTTTCTTTGCTGCCTTCCTCTCCTTAAACTTCTCTTCTTCCTTCCCCGCTGCCCCCCAGCCCTACCTCACCAGCACCCGAAGCTTGTCTCCAATGTCTGGACTCTTTGGCTCCATCTGGGCCCCGCAGAGCGACGTGTATGAAGCGTGCTGCCCCCTCAGCCCTGCCGTGGAGCACCCGGGCCACATGGAGAGCCAAGCGGTCATGTGCAAGGAGTACTACCCGGGCTTCGACCCGTTCCGGGCCTACATGAACCTGGACATATGGACTTCCACGGCCAACCGGAGTGCCGGCTTCCCTCTGCCCAGAGACCCCGGTTACTGCGGGAACGTGTGAGCGGACTGGCCCACGGCGCCTGCGTAGAGGCTTGTGTTCGGATCACTAGTGTAAGCTGGTTGTTAAGCTAGAGAGTGACCTTGGTGGGTATTTTGGCACTTTTATATGAAAATAAAATGTTTGGTGTTCTTTTTTTTTTTTTTTTTTTAAACGCGATCCGGTGTTTTCTTTTGATCCTCAGCGACCTGATGACCATAATTGGGTCCATATTAAAGATGGAGATCAAAGCAAAGGTGAAGGGCGACCCGCGGAAAGCCTTCGGTCCTTTCTGTTCTTCCGGGGGCTCTGGCATCGTAGGTTCGCGTCCCGCAGACCCGCCGCGTCTGACGTTTCTCTGCCCTCACACGTGCATGCGGGGCCTTCTCTGACCCAGCTGTGAAGGGTGGCAAGGAGGCCGACACGGAGGACAGCGGCCCTCGCGTGATTATCCCTCGGGAAAGCGGCAGGGTCTCCAGAATTGTACCTGATTTATATAAAAAAAAAATGTTTGGGGTTCTTTTTTTTTTTTTTTTTTAAACGAGATCCGGTGCTCTATTTTTTTAATCCTTCATGAGTCAATGGTACAAAGGAAACATCCACGTGTCAGAACTGGGGGGCCCAGAGCGTGTCAGGGGTGCCGAGTGCCTGAATCAGAGCAGGGGAGACCCCCAGGAAGGGGAGAGGCGGCAGAGAAGTGGTTTCCCCTCCCGAGAGCAGCGTCACTGTGGGAGCTGTCACTGAGCGGGTCCCCGGAGGCTCAGGAGCCAGGGTTTTTAGGAAGTTCTCCTGAGTGTAAGGCACAGCCAGTGTCCAGAGCTGCTGTCCAGGAGGACGCAGCACTAAATCATGTCCCCAGCGGAGAGGAGGAGGCGGCTCTGCTCCCGGTGCGTCCTGGCTGCCGGGATGAAGCACAGCCCCGCGCAGTTCTCAGCCCTGTGTATGGTGAGGACGGTCCCCTCCCTCTGTCAGGCCAGGACAGCAGCAGGGACTTTCTGGGTTGGGCGTCCTCCCGGCAGCCGGGCTCACCCCACCTCTCGGTCTGGGGGTAGGGTGAGGAGCTGGTGTGTGTCTGCCGGACTGTCTTGCTGGTCTTAGAAGTCCATGTCGTCTCTTTGCATGTGTAAACTTTGGAAACGTTTTCAACTTTTAATAAAAATGTCTTATTTTTACATATTCTTTGTCGTGGTGGGTAATTACGGAGGCCTGGTTGTTGTGAGGAGTGCAGTGTGCGCATGCTCCGATGGGTTTGTGTTTGCTGAGGCTGAGGCTGGGATGAGGAGGACAAGCTCGTTGTAGTGGGAGACCGGCCTTCTGCAAGGCACAGCTTCCGGGAACCCCCGAGGCTGCCGAATGTGGTCCTGGTTGGGATTTGGGGACTCCCTGTCTCCAAGAGAGGCATCTGCTTCCTATATGGTGACTGGTCGGGCCATCGATTAGCAGAGTCGCGGGAGCCTGGGCATTGATTTAGTGCCTCTTTCTGGGAGTGCAGATGTGGGAGAGGGATGCATGTCCCCTGGCCGCAAGCCAGCTTCCTGAGGTGAAGGGAATGTCACCGATGTTCGTGAGGCCTGACCCGGCCAGCAGCTGGGTCTCGGGGTGACGGGGCGAAGGCGGGGAGGAGAACCAGACTCCCTCCTACGCTCAGTAGTATGTTAAAAAATTAATCCTAGGACCGTACTCCTGAAGAATTGAGAGCGGGGACTTGAAGAGAAGTCTGCACACCTGTGTTTACAGTGGGATTTACAGTAGCCAGAAGGGGGAACGGCCCGCACGTCCATCCCCAGGAAATGGGTGAACAGAACGTGGTATATCCATACAACGGCTTCTGCTTCACTGTAGGAGGAATGGGTTCTGCATTCTACACAAGGGTGACCTTGAGAACGCTGCCCTCTCTTTAAATTTGCCATAGGGCACATGCACTTGCTGGAGACGGGGAAAATGAGAAAGCACCCTCAGGGATGGCCATGCCTCTGTCCTCTTCTACCCTCTATCCTTTCGGGATTTGGGGCACTCGAACGCGCACGCACCCAGCACACCTCTCAAGCTGCCAGGTGCGGGACTTGAACCACATAATTAGTCAGGTGGAATCCAGCCACCTTTAACCACCTCACCACTGGCTGGGTCTTTCTTTTTAAAAGTTTACTTTTTCGGGACCAACAGTTAGCATAATGGCCATGTCGCTGGACTCCCGCGTAGTTGACCACGGTTCAAGTCCCGGACCCGGTGGCTTAAACTCATGCTGGTGCATGTACGTGCGTGCCCAAGATCCCGAGAAGAGAATGAAGGAGAAGGGACTGTGGCGTGGCCATCCCCCCCGGGGGTGATTTCTCGCTTTCTGTCTCTCAGTCTCTCTCTGTCTGTCTGGCGAGCGCACACTCCTTGTGCTGGGTCCAGCCTCAGCCCCTGCCCCAGCCTGTGGACGCAGGCTGGCACGGGCACTCTGTGCAGAGAGAGGCCTTGGGGTGTGGGCGGGGAGTGTCCCAGCGGGTCCAAGGGGTTCCTACACCCACCCTACCCCATCCTCCCCAGGACTCAGTGTCCTGCCAGCTGTTGGCCTCAGGCTGCCCTCCTTTCTGGCCACATGCCCCTCCCTTTAGGGCAGCTCGCAGCATGGCGACTTCTGGCATCACCGGGAAGAAAAAGAGGAGGAGCGTGTGCACGGGGAAGACAGAGCGGTGGTATTGGTTGGTCTAACCTGAGGCAGGGAAGTGCCATCGCTTTGGGGATTCCATTGTTAGAGGCCAGTCCCTAGGCCCCGCCCACACTCCTGGGGAGTGGTTACACTAGGCCCCGCCCACACTCTTGGGCAATGGTTATACTAGACCCCGCCCACACCTGTGGAGTGATTACACTAGGCCCCACCCACACTCCTGGGGAGCCATTACACTAGGTCCTGCTCACACATACCAAGGGAGCGGGTTACACTAGTCCCCCCCACATGCCAGGGTAGGGGATTACACTAGGCCCCACCCACACACCTGGAGAGTGGTTACGCTAGGCCCCGCCCACACACCAGGGGCGTGGTTACCCTAGGCACCGCAAACAGTCCAGGGTTGCTGGTTACGCTAGGCCCCGCCCCCACTAGGGGTGTGGTTACACTATGCCCCACCCACACGTCACGGGGTGCGGGTTACATGGACCAAGCACCAGGCTGCAGGGCCCCTGGGAGCCTTTTAGAAGTCTGCCAGCCACCGTGGAGAGATAAGGCAGCCCCTTCCCGACCATGTTAGCGCTGGGAAGAAAGTAACCAGAGATCAGACGGAGGGCTCCTGGGAGTGCTTGGGGAGGTGCCCATGAGGGAGTGGTCACGGGGACCTCCCTGAGGAGGTGACAGCTGAGAAGAGACCTGAATAGCAAGATCCAGGCCTCCCAGCCCAGGGAACAGGCAGTGCAGGGTGGGAGGAGCCTGGCCTGTTCGCAAAGTTGGGGACAGTGACCGGACCACGTGAACAAGAGGGCGGCAGGGGCCAAGTGAGGTGAGAGCCTGGCGGCAAGCAGAAAAGTGTCCACCTTTGGGATGCCGGTGACTCCCCGCCCGAAGGTCATCACAGTGTCCGTAAGGGCCACCACGCACACGAAGACTGGAACCAGGGTTTGCTACTGAGATGCCCCTTCCAGCCACACTGGAGCCTGCGGGTCATTGCAGACTCTGCTGGAAGGGAATAACCCGAGGATGTGATCAGCTGCCCCAGGTGCCCAGGACATGGCCTTTGGGCTGAAACTGGGTAGTCCTGCAGAAAGCAGGCTGAAGTGAGCCCGGAAACCCCCGCTCTTTGTTGTAAGGGGAAACCGGGCTGGGCTGGCTGCCCTGACTTGGCCTGAGGGCCCGCCCTGTCTTCTGTGGCCTGGAAAGCAGACTGCCACACCCCCACCCTGTTGTCAAACTGAACGTCCCAACTCTTCTGCTTCACTGTGGCTAAGTCAGTCCTGTAGGAAAAGCTGGCCGAATGCACAGGTGTGGTCAGGGTCAGGGGAGGCTCGGGCTGGTCCCTGCCAGTCCTGGGGTGCTGGGGCCAGACCCACGGAGGGGGCTCCCGGCCCCTTAGTCACCACCCCGCGGCGCACTGTGCGTTGGCGTAGTTACTGATCCAAGCACCTCGTCAAGTCCTGAATTATACCACCCTTCCCCGCGAACGCCTTAGTGTGGTGGGCTCCTGGCCCTGGAAGCCACGGGTGTAGTTTGGTGAGTGATGACAGGATGGTGACCTGGGCACAGCAATGTGTAGAGTGACTGGGAAGGACACTTCGCCTTGGCCACATTGCCATGTCCTGGGTACTGGAAACAGGATGTGAGTGACTAGTGTCCCCAGTGGATCTGACATCACTCGTCACAGCAGCTGCAAAAGCCTCTCCCTTCCGTCCTCCCTGAGATCTGACTGCAGACCAGCCCTCCTTGAACCTCCCCTGCCACAGCCATGGTGGCCTCGAGGTTCTCCTTACTCCCATAACCCTGGCCCTAAAAATCCGATGCCCCTCCTGGGCCCCCTGAGAGAGCGGGGCTCCATGGCCAGGCTCTGGCCAGCCTCGCTCTCCCTCCTGGAGGACCCCTCCATGGTCTGCTGTAACCCTCACCTTGTGCCCATGACCCCCCAGATCACTGGGACCCGTGCTCCCTCCCTGTGAGGACCAGCGTCACCTGCGGGTGGAGTATACCCTTCACCCCGTCACCAGGCTTGGCCCAGCATCTTGCTTTGGCCTTGGAGTGTGGGAGAACTGATAACGTGTTTCCAAGAGAAGCTTTTCTCCGTTAAATAAGGTCTTGTCATTCTGCTTTATCCCAGTCTTCCTGCCTCAGCCTTCCTCCTGGACCAGGTGTTGAACCCGGGCCTCCCGTGTGGTCCCAGGCTGTGGAGCACAGCATCTTAGCCTCCGTCACGGTGGCTGAGCCACCGCAGCCTTACCAGCCCTGCCGGCCCCGTTCTTGTTTGCTCTTCCCATCTGCCACAGATGGCGTGTTCCAATGGGGGTGGCTGTCAGCCCGGGATGCGGAACAAGACCACCGCAGCCCCTCGCTCTTCTAG